TTTTATCAATAAAAAATCACAATAAAAATTGTATACCCGAATAATTAATATTTATACTTCGAAGATAACTTAAAATTAATATTTTTATAATAAGGAACTTCGTTCCTATCCGGTGTCCCACGACACCACACATCTTTTTTATCGCCTTGTCTTAGATGCTAGCTATTTATGTTTGTCTCGTACCTCGTTGTTTCTCTTTTCGAGTCTCATTTCCGTTTCGATCGATTTTCAAATCACAGCGGTATCTGTTAAAATGGAAGGTTAAAATACTTAGATTATTATCTTATACCTTTAAACGAGCAATTCTTGTATATTAATATATTATTATACCTATTCTGAATCTCGGAAACGGCTCCAACGATTTTCATAAAATTTAGTACACAGGGGATTTCGGGGGCGATAAATCGATCTAGCTACGATTTATTTTCAGAAAATGTTGTTTTATTCGTGTTTTCAGTAATCAACTCTTCCCCACATCTATTGGGATAATATGGGAATAATAATGCTATTTTTCTTAATTGACGGTAACTAACCGCTTTAAAGACACAACAAGTTGACGTTATCAAAAAAAAACCGAGCAATGCTCGGTCATCGTCTAGTGTTAATTTAAATATGAAAGATCCTCGAAATATCTTGTGTACTTTATGCAGTTTCAAGTAATTAGAGACATTTCAATTAGAGATATATCAGATAAGAAATGTTCTTTACGAACATGTTTGTAATGACCCACAATGACAAAATAGAGATAAGAATGGAATCGATAAAATTAAACAATATAATAATATTGTGTTACAGTTAGCACATGTCTTGGGGTATAATTCGACTTGGGACACGTCACAGGACTAATATCTAACTATGAATACGTCCAATGATCGCAATTTCACAATAATCAGTGATATCTCACGGTTTATATAATTATTTTTTTGTTACTTTTTCTTTCTTGTTTCGTTACATACATTTTAAAGAAAAAAAAGCTATTAATTACATTTAGAAAATAATGAACACCAAAAAGTAAGAGGCAAAAGAAAACGTACGACAGTAAATTATAATATTTAATTTGAATATCGATGCGGGTGTTTCGAAATTAGACACCCAGTAATTTTTGTTTGAGTTATTCGATTAATAAAACTTACGTGACGCGATTTGTACACGCGGCCGGCAGTGTAATCATAAGCAGCGATTTTTATATACAATTTTGATCTTTACATCTCCTGTTCCTATATAACTAGTTTAGCCAATAAAGACAAAATACATAAAGTAACTCGATGAATATGCAATATTCACAAAGAATATTGTTAACGCGTGTTTATTAATAACTAGCGACCCGCCCTCACTTCGCTTCGGAAACTGTAATTTATTACTAAATTCTACACTATTTAATGGACGTTATTATACATATAAGCCTTCCTCTTCAATCACTCTATCTATTAAAAAACCGCATCAAAATCCGTTGGGTAGTTTTAAAGATTTAAGCATACATAGGGATATAGGGACAGAGAAAGCGACTTTGTTTTATACTATGTAGTGATGATTTGACTGATTGGCTGGTGCAGTAGTTAGCGGTCCTGACTATTGCGCCACGGGTCGTGGGTTCGATCCCTGCATCGGGCAAACATTCGTTTGATGAAGATGTTTGTTTAATTTTAGTATCATAGTAGCATTACAGCCATTCTTTTTAGTTGTTTTTTTTAAAGGCGCCTAGAAACATTTTGCTTTATTTTAAATGTATTTACTGAAATTATAACTCGTCAATAGCTGCAAAACAAAACAAAAACAATTTTAAAACTAAACATAGCTGCAAAACTATTTTAAAACTAAACGATACGTTTTAATACTAATAACAGGCAAAAAATAAAAATGCTTATTTTTTATTTATTTATTTATTTATAACTTCTTATACTATAAAGTATAAAGGCGGACTTAATGCCATAGGCATTCTCTAACAGTCTACCTTAGGGGAGTGCAGAGATGAAGCTTGGTAGGTGTAGTGTGAAGGTGATATTACTGAAACATAATAATATGTGTATATATAACATACATAATATTTATAGATACAAATACTCGTACTGAAATAAATACATATACATAAATATATAGATATACATATATATTTACATCCTACAATCTTTTTGGCGTCTGCACGTCGTGCATCATTACGACGTCCTCCAGTTCCCATTGCTTTTTTTAACATGTCTTAATGAATATTGCTTAGTTTTTCGATTTCCAGCTCCGTGAGATACGTCATTTTCCGATAATTTTATTTTTCGCGATATTCTTCTTGCGTTCGTGCCGCAACATTTTTGAACCCCGAACCATGGTCATAAATTATAGGCGTCCTGGATATATTGATCGTGATTTACCTATGGCATCGACTATTTAGCATCCTCATAGGATGAACGACATTTGTAAGTGCGGCGTTGCCNTACCACCTACGGCGAATATATTGTTTTGATTAAATATCGTGTGTAAATTGTGATCCAATGTTGCAAACGAGCTGGCAACGTCGCAGTTGTGGACGCCAAATACGCGGATCCCTAGTCAGGAACTCCCCGAGATATGCGGCTGTCAATATACGCGCGACAGCAGTGCCACACCTGCGTTACGATTTCGTCGCGAACTGTTTAATATATTATTGCAGCCTTTTAAGAGATAATTTGGCTTCTATCGATATTTGTCCTACGGCTAGCCAGGACCAATGGGACGTAAACCCCACTGGCCATCAAAGTGGCGTCCGGTATGCGGACGCCAAAAGCAGGTGGACGCCAGTTTAAATGCATTTTTTTCTTCAGAGGACGTCTAGTTGTTTGGGGGATAAATATATATATATACATATACGTATCATAAATATATACATATAAAAACATATATAAACAAATATTATCAATTAGATGACTCTGCTAACTCTCTGAGAAACAGTTCTCGAACCTTCGTCTTAAGCGCTTCACGTGTAGTGGCCGACCTTATCCCGGCGCTCTTGGTCTGGGTAAGTCAGTCAAAACAATGAAATGATTCTGTTGTCCGTCGTGTTTGATACGTGCGCAAAGTTTTCAAACCCAGGACGCTTTTTCGGACGATCTTCGACTTTGATCAGTTCGCTGTCAAACTTTAGGAACATCTTCTAGATTAATCGGAATATTTCCCGAAAATGTTGATCGAAATCGGTTCGACCGTTTCGGAGTATAGGGAATACATACATACATGCGCACATCGACTTTCATCTATATATATTAAACACCTGCCTCATAAAAATGAAATTATAAAGTATCATAGTCAAATTTTGACCTGCGCGCGAACTCTTTTATTATTTGAATACTTTATGAGCATACCGAAAACAGCCGTCATCATAATTGCCTTATTGTTGCTGCCGCTGATTACTCCCCGAATCCTGATCACGCAGGAGCCAGTCATCGACGCCGCCCTAGACAGTAGCTAGATCCAATAACTCTTGCATTAAGCACCTTTAGCTCTAAAGCTAGGAGTAGTCTCAGGGACTCCGGTAGCCGTACTCGTTGATCTTGGCAAAGAGCTCGACGTGCAACCCAACCCATGCATCAGCCCGCTGAGTTTCTCGCCGGATCTTCTCAGCAGGTCCGATCCGGTAGTAAATTCATTCGCGAAGCAGCTACTCTCAAGATGTTAGGTCTTCTTTGGAGACGCTCGGGTAGCTGTTAGCAAATCCCACCCCTCCTGGCTGATTCCTTGCACGCCCGTCTGTCCTGGTGAAACTGGAAAGACCTCCTGGCCATCAGTAATCAATCAATTAATTAAAAAACAATTTGTTGTTAAACACCATTGCTTACTTTTACTTGTTTTCATACACGTCTTCTTCTTAGATAACGTTTATAGTACACCCTATATAATAGGGTATAAGATATGGCTCTTATCTATTACAAGATTTTCCGAAGCTGAAATGAGACTAATGTAATTAACACATTATTATGCATAGATGTAAAACATTTTCTGATTTAAGCATAATGTCGTCCGCTATCTATTTCTACGGGTAAGGCGTCTAGTGAGTCGGCATGGGTAGGAACTATCATCCTGTTCATTTTTACTTTTTACTAATTATCTATTCGCTGGTAGCCTAGCGGGCTATTTCGCGCGGACGAGTATATGAGTCACGGGTTCAATCTGAGAGAATTTGCTAACATCAGCCCTAGCAAGAGCAGTGTTTCATAGAATCTACTAGTGGATCAGAATCGAGAGCCACTGAGAAGATCCGACCAGAAACTCAGTGGGCTGTGTCTATGGGTTAGTTCGCTCGTTGAACGAGGATATTTTTACCTTAAAGCAGTACTGCCGTTCCACTACACAGATGAGACTTAGACCTCAAGTCTCAAGGTAGGTCACATAGTGATGTCCAGTAACCATATAACACCAGGCTGGACGTGAACTTGTTCATAACTATGCAATAAGAAAAATATGGTAGTCTATGGACGCGGATGCAGCGTCATGTGACATTATGTATGTATATTACAACATCTATATTATTATAAGAAACATATGTATGTATATATCCTATTAGCAATCGCAGGTACTGCAGCTTAGTAAAACTAACTTCGTTTGCATTTTTTTTTCTTTTTCTTTTTTTATTGCTTACATTGGTGAACGATCACACAGCCCGCCTGATGTTTAGTGGTTACTGGAGCCCATACAACGTAAATGCGCCACCCACCTTGAGATATAAGTTCTAAGGTCTCAGTATAGTGACATCTTTATATCTTACACTCAATTTGGTGAAATACGCAAAAAAGAAAAAACAAATATCAGGAATATGCATTCGTTAAGCCCGAACCTATAAATACTCAAAGTAAGAAATAGTTATTATATAAGTGTGACAGTTATACATTGTCCTCTTAAAAATTCCCAATAGGATTCTAAGTAATACAATATGAATTAGACTGACGTATTAGATCTTACAGGAATCCCAGTGGCAGCGTGAGTAATACGGGGCATCCCAGCGAGGTAGCGTCTCTAAACGTACAGTTCGTTGTCGAGTTTCAAGAAATGCGGCCGTCTGACACTGCGTCCGTCCGCGTTACTCGCAACAACACGGTTGTTAGCAGTTAACGAAAAGAAAGAAAAAAAAACCGCGTAATGTAAACACGTAACGTATTTTGTTTACAATAATCATGGGCCAGTGTTTAACACGCCCGTTTTTTGGGCGATAATAACTTTTTTAAAGCGAGGCGATTTTTTTGAAACTAATTCGAATGCTTAAAAAAAATTTTTTTTTTTTTAAATTCATTCTGTGATTGTAATTTGTGGCAATTGTGGTGTCTATAGTGTATGACCTCGAACTGTTTGTGATCGTACAAGTGTTTAATTTAATGAACGGTGCCGGACTGTTTAAAATTGGAATCGATTTTTATTCATTAAGGTGATTTTCTTATTACATTTATTTTTGTATATCTTTCCTTCTCTCCACAACATAAGGTAAATATTTTTAATTATTAAATAAAACAGCTCTATTGGATACCTCCTTTTTTCAGAGCGGCTAAATCGGACATCAATATTTTTAGAGAACAAAAGCAAAAATGTCGGAAAACAGCTGTAATTGTTTATTATTATTTTTAAAGAAACTTTATTCTAGAAATGTTTACATATACCTTATAATAATATATTAGAACCAATTCAAGTAAGATAAAAAGAATTTGAAATAATATATATATATACTCGAATTATCTTGCCTCCAATGTTGACAATTATTTCAGTGTTTTAGTGTAGTTAGAGCAGTGAACGGTAACCATTCAGAAAACCGAAAAGAAGAAGACAAAAGTATGGAATTTAATATTCACTAAATGCACTAAATTAAGACTTATTGTGTCATCTATACTAATATTATAAAGAGGAAAGATTTGTTTGTCCGAAACTACTGAACCGATTTGAAAAATTCTTTCCCTGTTTGGAAGCTACAATATTCCCGAGTGACATAGGGGGGGGGGGGGGGGGGGGAAAGAGAGAGAGAGTATTCTTTATTGTACACCAAACAAATAAACAAATAAACAGTGCGATATATTAAACACAAAAAAGTACAATTGGCGGTCTTATCGCTAAGAGCGATCTCTTCCAGACAACCATTAGGTGGACAAGAATCATTTGGAAACGAATTACGCGCGGTGTACCATTCCAGTGAAATACATATATGTACACATACATATATACATACATACACACATACATATCTCCGTAAATATACATACAATTAATACACAAAGTATTATAATATAATAAAAATTATTAAAAATAAATTTGCTTCTTTACACATAAATAAGAAAATAAGAATAAGCAATTTACATATAAAAGATACCTTTGAAACATATACAAGGCTATAATCTTTTTTGAAAAATAATAATAGGGATCCTTAAACTCCAATAATGTAACCAAAGGTGTAAAAAAAATACCTAAAATTTTCTTGACATCGCGTGCCCTGCAAAAACTATTGATGATAGAATAAAATAATGTACTACAACTTTGTAGAACACATTACTATTTATAAAAAGTGTCGCGACAGAATATGTTTAACTATGAATAACAGAAAACAGAATATGTTTAATTATAGTTATGCCGCAATAAGTGTTCTTTTATTTAAAAAAAAAAAACAACCTCAAATATCGTTGAAATTTTTGTTAAAAACCCGAGCGGAGCCGGAACGGGCCGCTTGTTGTGTATATTTTTATTGGGCAAATGCATTCTGTATCATCAGGAGATCAAGAACACTGTCACACATCTAAGTTGTAGACGCATTGCGTATTGGACGCATTGGCCAAATATAATACAATGATTCTATTGTTTTTAAGTACTTTTTGTTAGGTACTAACAGCATTTTATATCACCGATTTACGTAAAGATAAGGTATGTTAAATATGGATTTTTAAGAAGGACGTCTTCGAATCGTTTAGGGTCAAGACGATATTTGTAATGCGCCGATAGACGAGAAAGCTGCTCAAACAACGGCGCCTCATTACCGATGTAAAATTGAATGTTTTCAACACTATTTGTCCTCACTGTATACCTACGTAAATTATTTGTATTGTTGGCAGCAGTGTGAGCCCGCACGGGTAAATACCACTATCCGGACAATTTCTGCCATTGAGCAATCGCACGTTCCAGTTTCATGGACTGGTCAGCTAATATACAATGCAAGTCAATCTGATGAAGTCGTGGCCTAAAGGATAAGACGTCCGGTGCATTCGTATCTAGCGATGCAACGGTGTTCGAATCCCGCAGGCGGCTACCAATTTTTCTAATGAAATATGTATTTAACAAATGTTCACGATCGGCTTCCACGGTGAAGGAATAACATCGTGTAATAAAAATCAAACCTGCAAAATTATAATTTGCGTAATTGCTGGTGGTAGGACCTCTTGTGAATCCGCACGGGTAGGTACCACCACCCCGCCTATTTATGCCGTGAAGCAGTAATGCGTTTCGGCTTGAAGGGTGGGGCAGCCGTTATAACTATACTGAGAGCGTTGTAAATGTCTATGGGCTCCAGTAACCACTTAACACCAGGTGGGCTGTGAGCTCGTCCACCCACCCATCTTGAACATTCAGCCTCATGTGAGCGAAGGTATTCAAGTTGAGGTATCTATGGGCTCAGATAATCACTTAACAACATGTGAGCCATAAGCTAGTTCAACCGTGTAGCGCAACAAAACCGAACTCGGAAAATTAATCTATACATATAAATAAAATTGGAGTGTCTGTTTGTAATATTGAAATAACCGAATATATATATATACGGTACATACACCAAAATAATATTTTTTACAATTTTTGTCTGTCTGTCTGTCTGTTTGTTCCGGCTAATCTCTGGAAAAGCTGTACCGATTTTGATGAGACTTTCACTAATAGGTAGCTAATAATATAAGGAGTAACTTAGGCTACTTTTTCTAGACTAGCTTCGCCCCGCGGCGTCACCCGCAGTTATTGTCGTAGCGCGCGCAACATGGCGAGCTTCGCATATCAATAATAAAATGTAATGTTTCCGAAGCGAAGCGAGGGCGGGTCGCTAGTATGTAAATAAAACCGAGAAAGTTTGTAAATTGTTCGAGGCAGGACCATGAATTTTGCACAAGTAATGAAGTCGGGGGGAACTAAGCGAAAGAGATTTTATAATTAACTAGTTTAAGCCTCTGGGATAAGTTAAACCTTCCAACCGGTTCGTTCAATGTTTAATTGCTGTCATAGAATTATTGCCTAATTTAGATTCGACTGAAAGACTAGAATGTTTATTGAGGTTTAAAACAAATAACAATAAAACACGTTAAAATAGCAAGTTGTTATCTTTTAAACAAATTTTTACACCTATAATTAAGTAATTGCGAGTAAGTGTTTACCGAGGCCTATAGACATCTACAATGTAAATGCCGCCACACACCTTGGGATTGATGATGATGATGTGATGGTGTGATGTGTGATGTCTCAGTTATTAAAGCAAAACAGCAGCCCCACCTTTCGAACCTAAACGCATTACTGCTTCACGGCAGAAATAGGCAGGGTGGCGGTACCTACCCATGCGGACTCACAAAACGTCCTACCACCGGTAAAAAAGCCGTTGTACTATAAAAATTGAGAAGAATTCATGTCTCAAGATAAATATGTACTAGGTGGCTGCGTTTACGTTATTGATGTCTATGGGCTCCGGTAATCACTTATTCCCAGATAGACCGTGAGCTCGTTCATCCATCTAAGCAATAAATAAAAAAGTAAAATTTAAAATAGACTTTCCATTCAAACTTTTAGATAGGCATTGTTAGATGTAAAAAAACATATTCAGATACGATATATTATGAAGATATAGCTTCTCTGATATAAGTGTAAGTATAAGTGTTGTCTCTATCTTAAAGAAATTACGACTATTAGCTGTGTAGTATTACATGTTAATATTTACCAGCAACATTTTAGTTTCATAGCTATCGATTGGCAGCAATGACCTAAATTAAAGCATTATCGGAATTCTAATTAACATTTATATAATTACAGTTGTCTTTGTGTTTTCTTAATTAAATTCTCAATAAGATAGAAAACAGGCAAAGGGCCACGTGCGTCATCGATGGCCTGTGCTAAAGATATGTGTTGAATATTTTCATATATTAGTCGATTTATTCCGGATGTATTCTAATAGAATCGAGAAATTCAATTCAATCGAAAAGCATACATTGGTCGTCTGTCATCATCATAATCGGTTGCTCTTGGTAGAACAGTCGTGGTCATGTGGAATCCCTGCTTATTAAAGTCTTGACAGATGTTTTCCATAGTTTGGGAACCTCGGGGGCGCAGCCCAATACGTTGGTCCGACCAGATCCGCACCGCCCTTGATTCCACGTTTCACAACGCCCTCCACACCGCCAGAGACAAGAATGGATGGAGAAAAATCGTGCGTGCGAAGGTGATACAAAAGGGTGGTCACGACCCTCAGCAATGAGGAATACGATGCAAGGAGGATATAAAAACTCACTTCTCACTTCTCATTTAAAAACTTACTCCTCAAAAGAGTAGGACTTACTTTGAATTTCAAATTCAAAACATACATAGCTCAGTACTGAGAGAATAAGATCGGTCCTGTATTAAGCTTATTATATAACTAGCCGTACTCGCCCGCTTCGCTGGGCATTTAAAATTAACATTATTATTTATTGTCATTACTATTAGGGAGTCCAACACTCATATAAATATTCGCCTAGCCATTAAGTAAATGTATTTTCTACATGGATACCAAGTTTCAAGTCAATCGGATGCATGATTCAGTAGTTATAATGGAACATCCGTAAAAACCACTGTAGATTTATATATTAGTATAGATTACAACCTTAACAGCTAAGTTGACATAATCATTTATTTCCCTATGATAGATATTTGTTAGTGGGTGAAACAAAATTTTAATCTGAGACGCGGTATTACTTCAATTTTCCGGTCTATCATGACCCGCCAGGGAGGCATTCTTTCACTGGCACGACAGTAATTGTTTATATTTTTGTTTGTTCTCTGGTTACACGATTTTGTATCCCATTCTCCTTATTTTTACAATTACCTGAGTCAATTCAAGCCGTTGCTTACCGCTGGCGACTCTTCTCAAACCTCGCGTTGTACAACGGAATCTTTGACTTGTTGCCTCACGGTATTCTTTATTATCGTATCGTATCTAGAGGCTCAAGTGAAAACTTATAATAGTCAGCATGCCTATTTGCATTCAATAAATAGATGAAGAAATATGTCGAAGCAAATTGAAATAATCATAAAATATTTACTGCTAATTCCTACGTAAGAGAAGTCGTTATGTCAAAATAACTATATATGATTATGAGTTCACTATTGAATGTATTTTGCTGGTGTATTTCCTCGTACATTTTTTAGCTACTCCGGTGTGAAAGTAAG